TCATTTCTGACTGACTAACCCATCTCGAAGAATATTAATAATTGGCACTTTGAAGAACTGAACTTCGACCCAGCGGTTGAATGACTAACATGCTGACCACGAGACCTTAAGTTCCTGGGTCCTATTACTGACACGGTCGTTTGCGCGTACTGCTGAAGAATCCCTTACTGAGAAAACACAACTGTTCAGTGCTCCCAGGTTTTCATTGGTCCCTTAAGTGATGTCAGTCCATCATGGATTTTACTGTTTCTTTGCATAACCAAGCTGGACAATGAAGCAGTGATTGACTTACCGGGCTTTTCTGTGTATGTAGCTATCTCAACTGAAGCATTTCAATTTGTAAGTACAGAGAGATATGGATAGACTCGGAAGTCTATTCTTCAACTGCATCTATACCATAAAGTGATTAGTAAATTTCAAGCATAATGTCGCAAAAAGGAAGATTTTTCTATCATTTTTTGAGTTTATGTTTCTGCAGTTGTGTCTCATTCAAACCCTAAGGTTCATAAAATTGCTACTTCGGTACCATTTGAAGGCACTTTTCTCGGGCAGTTTTCATCATACAAGTTCCCTTGGGTTCCTAGTGGAACATGGGGCTTCAGTGGCACGTCACCCATCCATTCCGTTCTCTGCAGTCTGGCTCCAACACTGCCCAGAAGCTTGCATTTCTTCTCCACACCATCCCCTCCATCTCACCTCATCTCAGATGCCCAGCTCTGCGTTTCCCATTTCGATTCCACTCAAGCAACTAACCTGGTGTGTGATGTCCCCAAAAGGCCTTCTCTCAGTGTATGCCCAATCCAATCCAATCCAATCCATCTCCACTTTCTTCTTCTGCATAATTGTTGGGCGATAGGTTCCTGGTTGGTTCGTTTCCAGCCAGCCAGCCAGCCAGAGTTTCACCTTGCTTATTCCTATTATTCTGGTCATCTGATCTTCAGTATTGAGTGAGTGTAGGTGGCAGCTGTTGATGTATGTCTGCAGTTTATTGAAAATGTTTTCCTTAACACACTCACTCTCAACCATCACATAAAAGCACTGACTTGACGTTGGTGTTGAAAATCCAGATATTGTTCACGCTTTATAGTGAGTGCAGTGCAGTGCAGTGCAGTGAAGTGCAGTAGATCTCCACATTGGTTATTTCCGATTAATGAAGGAAAGCCTGTCATGCTGTCTCTCCAATCCTGGTTGGCTTTGACATCCTCATCTGTGCCTGTGCCACCTGTAGTTGAAACGATGCTGCCGAGGTAGGTAGGTAGGTGGATGAACGAGACAACTTCCTTCAGATTTCTCCCGTTGATAGTGATTGATGCTTGTTGTTGTTGTTGTTGGCTGAGTATGCTCAGCACATCTGTCTTCTCTACGTTCCTCGGAAAGAAGTCCCATCTTCGTTGCGCTGCCCTGCCCTGCCCTGCCTCTTCTGCCAACTTGTTACTTCTCCCCTGTACATCTACCACTTTGTGCACAACATTAGATATTAGATATAAATCATGATGAGTGAAATCCAAATCTTCTCCTGGGATCTCTTCACCCGTCAAACAGCGAATGCCCAGCCTCTCACTCCTCACAGTCTCTTGGATGATCCTGACCAGACCAGTCCAGTCCAGTCCACCACAATCACGAAGATGATCGGTGATAGTAGGCGACAACCTTGTCTTACTCCTTAATATCCTCACTTCGAAGGCATCACTGAGCTTTCCATTCTGAATCACTTGACATATAGCATCATCATCTCCATCATCATCATCACATAGCTGTTGAATCAGGCTTGTGGCACTAAAAGCTTAGTGTTGAAGCAGCTGCCAAATTACTTCTCAGTCGATGCTATTGAACGCCTTTTGTAAGTCGTTGAAGTTGAGGTAAATAGTTGCCATTCTGCCATTCTATTCTCTGTTATAGAATGATATGTAGCGTTACAATTCGACCCGCACATGATTATTATCATTTCTATTGGCTAACTTATGCTCTAGTTTTACACTGTTTCTGAACCCCGTAATTATTGTTGATATGCTCTGTTCAAAGTGAGGGTACGAAGGAATATAATATTTACATTGATTAGGGTTATTGAGAAGGAAATTATTGTACGTGTATCTGGGCTGAAGGCTATAGGAAGGAAAGGTTTCGAACAGACATTTTCTGTATATTCTTATCATTGCATTTCCTTTGTTGATACTGTCAGCAGCAATGATTTGACTGTCAAGATTTTCAAACTGTAATTGTGTTTTGCAGTCTCGTGGAATGTTTGTTCACGTTACGAAATGCTGGTCTTAGTGATAAAACTTCCAGGTTCAATGAAGTGAGAGAAACAGTGAGAAAATTAATGAAGTACCTTTGGAATTGCATAAGAACATTACTTTCCACCCATTCGGTAGTGGGTTCGAAGCAGTCCACACCTGCAAACGTTTGAGTAGTCAGTTAGTAACGTGAGCGCCCACACAATAAATGTGGCTCATTGAGTAGATTTCGATTTGATTCAACTTCTTCGAAATCTCACTTCAACGTATAGTATTTTTCTACACCTTTATTGATAACTTCTGTTACATACTTTTCGAACATATAGGGTAAATTCCTTGGAAGTAACTCACTGAAATCTGACATTGAGCTGCATCTTTTTCTAAGGCCGAATATCCAGATGCTTAATCCAAAGTGCTGAACAAATCTTATCGTCATTTTTCAGGTGTGGTGATCAAACTAAATGAAATTCTTGAGAGAAACACCTAAGTACCCTTTACCTATTGTAGGACGGTTAGAGAATAAACGTAATATTTAGTGAGTAAGTAGTTTAATGGCAATCTCCTAAGCTCGAAAGCTGGAAAATGCGTTTGAATTCTAACTTTTAAAACATAAAACTACTTTTTGTTAAAAATACATGAATGATAACTGTCGCTGCTTTTATGGTTTTCAATCCAACCTTACTACTTGACATCTTTTAGTATTGCTTAATATTGCTTTGTTGTTCTTCATATAAATGAGGCTTCATTGCACTCTATTTCTGACCACACTTGTAGTGCCGGTGAGATAAGTAACAACCCATCAGCCGACGGTTTAACGACGTACTAGCTAAGACAACCCCTGAAAGTAGATATGGTGTTCTTAACCACAAGTGTCTTTGTTGTAATGAGCAAGTATGATAAAATCAACATGTGAACAGTTTCCAAGTTAGGCGGAGGATATCATGCAACTTAGTTAATAAGGTTGAGAACTGATGGATTAAACAACCGTCTTTCAAAAGTTTAGTGTACTTTGAAACAGTTTACTCTCACCTCCAATATAACCAAATCACCGATTAAGCCAGCAATAGCTAAAGTCGGATTAAGTTAACAAAAAGTATTTGATAGCCAGATAAAGGCAAAAGATCAGCTCATGAATTCTCTCACTGTCTGTCTCAACCATGTAAGGAAGTGTGAAACTCCTCACTGGGGTCTGTTTAACAGTCTAACTGATGTAGCTCAAAATCTGTGACACACATGTAGATGCGCTATGCACACCTGAATCCCAATGTCAAATATGCATTTTCGCCTTAATCCCTCTTCTTTCATCACGTGGTTTTCTAAAACTTTAGATTAAATCGCTTTCATTGCTAAGTCTCTCTTCTGGAGATGTTATAGCTTCAAACGCTGGGCATTGATTTCTATAATGTCTCACCCTTCAGGAGCAGTAGAGAGAAATTTCTTTGTATCAAGTGGAAATAAATGTGAGCGAATTTTCCAGTATACCTTCACATGAGTATAAAGAAAAACTGCTGCAACTTTCCTCTTATTGGCAACCTTGGTTGGTTATGAACTCACAGAAGTTGGGAATACTGACCATTGGATTCCGACACAGTGGCTCAATGGTAGAGAATATTTGTAGGTCAGGTGGATGATCCTGGTTACGTTACCTGAGCTAAAATAATCGAATCGTCAAGCTTTTTTTGTCTTTCTAGACAACATGATTAGCACTTCATAATGTAGTTAGTGCGGCTGATGCCGACGTTATCTAAAAAGATAACGGAAATCTCACGACTATGACACTCGGATGAGAGAAACCAATACACAACAAAGATCTTCAAAGTTGGTATTGATCATGGACTGACATCATTTGGAGGAACAGTTGAGATGTGAGAGCACTAGACAGCTGTCTCGCCCCACTAAGGGACTTTCCGACAGCGCGAACCCATGACCCCACCAGGCCGGGGATCGAACCCAGGACCTCCAGGTTTCGTGACCAATACGTTTTCACTGAACCCCTGAATCGGAATCCGGTCAGCTCACGATTCTAGTTCATGATGGATTCCAACCTAAAATCAATTAATACATCTCCACAAACCTTGGGATAGAATTAATCTGGCGCTCATTGGTGACTGGCTTCGAGAGGTGATTCCTGAAGTTCGAATGAGAAGTCGCGACCAATGGGGGGAAACCTGGTGGCCATGAGGCCAAATACTCAACAATGACATTAGGTGAAGGTCGCACTATGTCGTGAACCGACAAAAGTAAGAAATGTGTACCAATAGATTCAACGCAGTTGCTCAATGGTAACATGCTGGCCACAAAACCCAGAGGTCCTGGGTTCGACCTCCGGAGGTGTGGGATCATGAGTGCGCGCTGCTGAGGAGTCTCGTAGTAGGGCTAGACAGCTGTCCAGTGCTCCCAGGTTTCCAATGTTCCCCTAACTAATGTCAATTCACGATAAATGGCAACTTATAAGATTTTTGTTGTGTTGGTTTCTCTCATCTGAGTGTCTTAGTGGTGAGATTTCCATAGTCTTTCTAGATAACGTCATCATCAGCCACACTAATTGCATTATGAAGTGCTAATGGTGTTGTTTAGAAGGACAATGAAAGCTTGACAATTCAACTATTTTAGCTCAGATAAGGCAACGTAACCAGGATCATCCACCTGACCTACAAATATTCTCCATCATTTCCTATTATCAATGTTTTCCAGACTACATTTAATAAGAGTCTTAGCAGCTCTTGATTTAAATGAGCACACTTGACGTTAGTGTTTTCCATTTTTAGAACGAACAACTGCACTCAAGGTTATCGATAAAATTTTTCATGAAACAGATAAACAAGATGAATACACTGAACTTAAAGTTCAAGAAATACTGAAAGATATCGGAAAGTGAGTTATACTTTGTACAGGTTGCTTGAAAAGTTCACCCAGTTGATAAGATTATTCTACTCTTATCCAAGGGTTTGTCAGTAATAAATTAGTCATGGTTTATGCAGACAACATTATTTACTTACTGTTAGTGGTAGGTGAAGTGATCTAGTGAAATACTATAACATAATGAGACACTTTAACTGGATTCGAAAAGTGACTATTCTCCCTGGGTACTTAATACTTCACTGACCCACGAAAATGTCAGAACACAAAGACTGACTTATGACTCTAATGATGACACTTTATTTGACAAATATACTACATTTATATACATTTATCATGAATGTATGCAACTACAAGGTGAAAAGTTCAATAACTTATTCTGATTAGTCAACTGTGGGATAAAATTGTCCATTAAGGTTTCATTCACCTCACCAAACCGAAATAGAAAAGCTTCGATATTTAGCGGCTGATGACTTAAGATATTGATTTCCATTTAAACAGCTTCCAACCAGTCGATGTTAAAACCTGTCACTCCTTAAATGTATTCTATGATCTATTTGCCTGTTACGGGATACGGAAATGCAGTAAGCCATTCACAAAAATACACGGTGGGAATGATTTCCGATACATGAATATATCGTGTTATATAATATTGCCAGGAATTAGTAGCGCTGAATCTCGACATAAAGAAAAGAGACTAAGAATTAAATATGAGCATCACAGGGTGTGATAATAAGGAGTTCAATTTTTAAGACTGCCAATGAAATTCATAAAAAAATTGGTTCAATCTAGAATGTTGACCAGTTAATCTTAGCTGTAAGTTTGTTCCAAACATTAGGAACTTACAGTTTTATCTGAAAACTAATCATTTCTCGAATTAAGGTTATGATACTATTTTACAAAATCACTGAAGCTTTAGAAGTTTCCGCCTTTAGAGTGACTGTCATACGACCTTGAACCGACCAATCAAACTGAAGATAGATGTGATATCCTTTTTAAAAGCTTAGGATTATTGAAAAAGTATCGCTGATAATTCATAGATCTATGCATAATTTCAATGATGACAGAGAATTATTTCCCAAGCTACCATCTTACACTATTTACTAATTTCGCAGAGTTTCTTCTGTGCCCCCCCCCTTTGCTTTGTCGATAAAATTGCGCAATAAGGAGACGACGGAGGTTATCTGAGAAATGTAATGTATTCACACAGGAGACTTCAAACAATCCAACCACACACTAACTTGTCAAGGCATTTTATATAAAGAATGAAAATAAAGTGGGGTAAGATAAATAAATTAAGATAATATAAGATTTGGTTAAAAAATATGAGAATAACAAGGAGGAATAATACATTTTCATACCTCACTTGACATTAAAATGCCATAAAGATTACCAAGGAAGGTTTAAGATGAGGACAAATTGTTTTTTGAATACACAAAGGGCTTTGAACTTTCATATAACTAAGGCTACAAACAACCTAAGTATAAGGTCTTGACGGTTCCTATATAGTGAATGGTCTAAAGTCTGTTTTGGAGTCAATGCTGTGACCTGTTTCTTAATGTGTTTACCTATCAACGATGATTTCTGTCCTCCGATTATATTTATTGAGTCATTTGAATGTAATTGTTTTTGTAACCATTTAGAGATACACTTGACCACCGTCGACTTCATAGTTCGATTACTCCTCCGAATGTATGTGTCAGCACACATATGTGATTGGTATACACAGTGAGATGTGATGTAATCATTTATGAAGTGATGAGTTTCATTTTGAAGCACAGATTTCGTTTTCTTGACATCATTGAGCTTGGCTGCGTATAATGTCTTTTTGATAACTGAATTACATTTTTGTCTTAAAATCACACTATTTGACTCCCCCTTATACGGTAGCGTGATGTGAACATCCTTCTTCGGGACAGATTACTGATTAATTCGCACCGTTGAAATGTTTTTATGACGGCTGATGAAATTCAGAGGATATGCGTTTCCATGAGTGTCTCTGTTGAAAATTTGAATTCTTCTTCCAAAGTATCTGTTGTACAGATGTGTTGGAATCCTTTGAATAAGCATTTTACTAAACCTAGTTTGTACTGTATTGGACAGAATCTATGGAAGTTAAGGTACTGTCCAGTTCACGTAGGTTTTCTATACATTGATCTTTTTATGAATCCATCTTCCCTTCTAGTTAATAACACGTCAAGAAAAGGAAACTGATTATTATTTTCTGCTTCACATGATAAACTAATGTGGTTTTGTAAGGTGTTAATTCGATCTAGAAAACTTTTCACATCCTTGAGTTTGTTACATATTGCTAAAATATCACCAGTGTATCTCCTGTACAGAGGGACTTTGCTGATAATATCCTCAGCCAAAAGTTCTACATGTGACCTCATCACTTCATAAATGTTTACATCACATCTCACTGTGTATACCAATCACATATGTGTGCTGACACATACATTCAGAGGAGTAATCGAACTATGAAGTCGACGGTGGTCAAGTGTATCTCTAAATGGTTACAAAAACAATTACATTCAAATGACTCAATAAATATAATCGGAGGACAGAAATCATCGTTGATAGGTAAACACATTAAGAAACAGGTCACAGCATTGACTCCAAAACAGACTTTAGACCATTCACTATATAGGAACCGTCAAGACCTTATACTTAGGTTGTTTGTAGCCTTAGTTATATGAAAGTTCAAAGCCCCTTTGTGTATTCAAAAAACAATTTGTCCTCATCTTAAACCTTCCTTGGTAATCTTTATGGCATTTTAATGTCAAGTGAGGTATGAAAATGTATTATTCCTCCTTGTTATTCTCATATTTTTTAACCAAATCTTATATTATCTTAATTTATTTATCTTACCCCACTTTATTTTCATTCTTTATATAAAATGCCTTGACAAGTTAGTGTGTGGTTGGATTGTTTGAAGTCTCCTGTGTGAATACATTACATTTCTCAGATAACCTCCGTCGTCTCCTTATTGCGCAATTTTATCGACAAAGCAAAGGGGGGGGCACAGAAGAAACTCTGCGAAATTAGTAAATAGTGTAAGATGGTAGCTTGGGAAATAATTCTCTGTCATCATTGAAATTATGCATAGATCTATGAATTATCAGCGATACTTTTTCAATAATCCTAAGCTTTTAAAAAGGATATCACATCTATCTTCAGTTTGATTGGTCGGTTCAAGGTCGTATGACAGTCACTCTAAAGGCGGAAACTTCTAGAGCTCCAATGATTTTGTAAAACAATATAATAACCTTAATTCGAGAAATGATTAGTTTTCAGGTAAAACTGTAAGTTCCTAATGTTTGGAACAAACTTACAGCTAAGATTAACTGGTCAACATTCTAGATTGAACCAATTTTTTTATGAATTTCATTGGCAGTCTTAAAAATTGAACTCCTTATTATCACACCCTGTGATGCTCATATTTAATTCTTAGTCTCTTTTCTTTATGTCGAGATTCAGCGCTACTAATTCCTGGCAATATTATATAACACGATATATTCATGTATCGGAAATCATTCCCACCGTGTATTTTTGTGAATGGCTTACTGCATTTCCGTATCCCGTAACAGGCAAATAGATCATAGAATACATTTAAGGAGTGACAGGTTTTAACATCGACTGGTTGGAAGCTGTTTAAATGGAAATCAATATCTTAAGTCATCAGCCGCTAAATATCGAAGCTTTTCTATTTCGGTTTGGTGAGGTGAATGAAACCTTAATGGACAATTTTATCCCACAGTTGACTAATCAGAATAAGTTATTGAACTTTTCACCTTGTAGTTGCATACATTCATGATAAATGTATATAAATGTAGTATATTTGTCAAATAAAGTGTCATCATTAGAGTCATAAGTCAGTCTTTGTGTTCTGACATTTTCGTGGGTCAGTGAAGTATTAAGTACCCAGGGAGAATAGTCACTTTTCGAATCCAGTTAAAGTGTCTCATTATGTTATAGTATTTCACTAGATCACTTCACCTACCACTAACAGTAAGTAAATAATGTTGTCTGCATAAACCATGACTAATTTATTACTGACAAACCCTTGGATAAGAGTAGAATAATCTTATCAACTGGGTGAACTTTTCAAGCAACCTGTACAAAGTATAACTCACTTTCCGATATCTTTCAGTATTTCTTGAACTTTAAGTTCAGTGTATTCATCTTGTTTATCTGTTTCATGAAAAATTTTATCGATAACCTTGAGTGCAGTTGTTCGTTCTAAAAATGGAAAACACTAACGTCAAGTGTGCTCATTTAAATCAAGAGCTGCTAAGACTCTTATTAAATGTAGTCTGGAAAACACTGATAATAGGAAATGATGGAGAATATTTGTAGGTCAGGTGGATGATCCTGGTTACGTTGCCTTATCTGAGCTAAAATAGTTGAATTGTCAAGTTTTCATTGTCCCTTTAAACAACATCATTAGCACTTCATAATGCAATTAGTGTGGCTGATGATGAAGTTATCTAGAAAGACTATGGAAATCTCACCACTAAGACACTCAGATGAGAGAAACCAACACAACAAAAATCTTATAAGTTGCCATTTATCGTGAATTGACATTAGTTAGGGGAACATTGGAAACCTGGGAGCACTGGACAGCTGTCTAGCCCTACTACGAGACTCCTCAGCAGCGCGCACTCATGATCCCACACCTCCGGAGGTCGAACCCAGGACCTCTGGGTTTCGTGGCCAGCATGTTTCATTTTGAAGCACAGATTTCGTTTTCTTGACATCATTGAGCTTGGCTGCGTATAATGTCTTTTTGATAACTGAATTACATTTTTGTCTTAAAATCACACTATTTGACTCCCCCTTATACGGTAGCGTGATGTGAACATCCTTCTTCGGGACAGATTACTGATTAATTCGCACCGTTGAAATGTTTTTATGACGGCTGATGAAATTCAGAGGATATGCGTTTTCCATGAGTGTCTCTGTTGAAAATTTGAATTCTTCTTCCAAAGTATCTGTTGTACAGATGTGTTGGA